TTTTTAGATTGGGTTGGGTTTGATGTGCGATTTCACGTTGGGGTGGAGGACACAGTAGTCAGCTCATTTTTCGAGTGCTGCCGAGGGTTTGAATGAAACATAATCTTGCTAATTTTCACAACATTTTTATTATATTTCTATTCCCTGTATCATTAAAATAATAGCCAAAAGGCATCCAAAAAATTCGATTCACGGAGGTGTGAGGAGGAATTCATTTGAGTTATGAAGGTTTTTAACGCATTGTTAATAAGAGACTTCTGACAGAGAATTGAAAAAAAAACAATTCGAGACTATTTGAGTTATCGAGGTTCAACTGGTTGATATTGTACCGACTTCACCAGAACTCGTCAGGATTTCTCGAAAGTCTCACGTAACACCAACAGATATTCTTGTTTCAGTGGAATGAGACCTAACAACCATTTTCAATCGAATTCAGTATAGGAAGCCATTATCTCTTATGAAACGCGTCTCCAATTCTAATTTCTCAAAAATCAAAACAAGCTTTTCTGCGACGTGAGGCACGCTGCCCACCAGGTTGAGAAGAACCCTACCGAAAAATGGAGAATAACCAATACAAATATTTTTAATAGCTCACCTGACGTCCAAAATCCTTGACAGACGTAATACTTGACGCCCCAAAAAGAAAACCGACGTCCAGCAGCGAATGCTCTGTCCCTTGCACGAACCCCATCGAATCTCACCAGCGTAGAATTGGCACTGCGAACGGAGGCGGTTTTAAACGCGATGGCGTCTAATGCCGGCGCCCACGATGCCGCCAACTCCTCGGAATTGAAGTCCTTGGGCAACGCTGGACTCAGGACTAGGTAAGTGGACGGAACACAATCCGTAAACGTGCACCTGTAATCGTCCTCGTCGTTTGAGGCGTCTCCGCCGGTCGCCAATGCTTCATTCAGACGAGAAAGCACGTCTCGTAGTTCTTCGGCTCGCCGTGGATCAGATCCGTTTACCCACGTGTAAACAACATCTATCGGGACGTGTTGACACAATCTGGAATATCACGCAAGCGTGGCACTGCATCAAGTTCAAACTTACACACATAGATGTCGCTTTTTTGATACAAAATCTTACGCCTCCTGAACAATATAATGGGCCTTCTAAACCGTGCAACTCGTAAAAGCATTAAATACGTATCAGTAAACCTCGGAATCAGCTTCCAAATTACATATTTCCAGTCTCAAATGAAGATATAACGAAAGAGCCTCACACTTGTCCATTCATCACTTGTATACGCTTGAAACATTCAACCTTTCCACGGATCAATATCCAATTGAATTTCAGTTCCTTGAATCAATTTTAATTACCTCTTGCTCTTGAGTTCAAAGTTGATCAAACCCCTTCTTCATACAATAAAATCTTGTCATAAAAATGGGACAAGTATAATTCAAGGAAGTATAATTCACAGGACAAGTAAACTAGCTTCACGGAAACAAGATATTTGTTGTAAAGTAAGTCCTTTGACAACATGAATATTGGACAGGGACCTAAGAAGACTTTTTTGTGAGTGATTATTTGTGGTAATAAGATTTTACTGCTTGGAGTTGGAACACATAAATTTCCCGCTAAGTACTTCGGAAATTTCCATTTCTTGAATTATACAGATCGTAAAGCAAGGCTCTCTCTCCAACAAAATCCAAGGAACCAGAACAATTTCGTTGTTGAGAACCGCATGAAAGCACAAAAAAAGTCATTATGCTGTACACAGAAAATCGTCGAACCCCATGAGACCACAAAAAAAAAGTCATTATGCTGTACAGAGAATGTCGTTTCAGACAAGATCGTGGTGATGAACCAATCACGCACTTGCTTTGAAAGGATTTCCCCAAAATATTGTCATCGTATTGATTGAACACAGATGCGTACGTTCCTCGGCTCCAGTCAACCCACACCTGCAAAAATCCATTCCAAAATTAGCAACAAAAATACGCGCAAAACATAAAAAAATCTTACGCAAAACAACGAACCTCGCCGAATTGGAATGCAGAAATGACGAGCACCAAGAGACAAAGGAAGCAGATCACAGCCGCGTTCTGGTGCGACATCACATCGTAGAACATCCTGTGCACTTTCTTACGCATTCTCCGCTGAAAAAACAAGCACCCCCAAACACCGACAGAGATTCCTGCTACCGATCCATCACCAAAGCGGCTCAGGAACTAACGGAGGGAAATTGGCACACATGAAAAAAAACACTCAATTCTGCAACCAAAATTCACGCCACTTCAAATTTCGATGAAAACGCCAAACGGGAAAGAAACACGACTACAGGAAATCCATCGCAAAATATAATTGCAACAACAATCAAAACATCTCCGCAAAGCTCACCTACGGTTCGAATCACTTGATATGATCAATACAAGAACTGGAATGGATTGAAAAATGAACTTCCAAGCTATAAGCAAAGGACTAAATTCGCATCCACGCAAAGCTACCATTTCGTTTTATAAGTGCTTATTAAACTAATTGGACTTAGAGCTATGTAAGTTTTACGATCAACAACTCGTTGGCACTTAGTGTTTCCATACAAAGCTAAATACCCTACGTACCAATGTCAAAGATGAATTTCGCACAAGTAACTCAAACCACCTTCAAAATGATTTGGAATTGGTATTGCAATATTAAATGCCCATGTATGGTTCCTAGAAAGTCAAGTTTCGCCTAAATCACTTTTCTCACTAACCGTAAAGGATTAAATCTAGTCGCACAAATTCGAATCTGAATTAAAATGACCTCAATAAAAAAAATTAAAAGGCATATTTGAAATATTTTTTACTTCATTCCTGAAGCGAAATTCGTGAAAAATGCGGAACCATGGCCATTCTGCGCAGTTTTCAATTAAATTTTAAAATTAACGCCTGAAAAAATTTCGAGGTGACTGCCTCGTGATTCAACTCAGAAAAAGCTGCATTCTGAACGTTCACTTCCCATTTTCCGTTCATAAATTTCTTGGAATCATTGTTTTCCTCATCTAATCGCCTCATGAGACTCATGGCGATTAGATTAACTTCCACACACAAAAAAATTGAATTGTTCTCAAGTACTCTTTCTGGATCTCAAACACAGATAGCAACTCTTTTCTCATCGATGTCGATGAAGAAATACTCTCCAGAGTTCTCCAGACATTAAAAATGAATCTCTTGGATGTTCACGCGGAAAAAAACTAGAATCACAGGCGATTGAGCTGAACGAACCTATTTCAGACAAATTCAAGCGACACCTCAGTAATGAAAATTGAGGCTCACGCGATAAAATCGATTTCTTTAAAGGAAGAAAGATCGTCAAGAGCATTTCTTCATGCTTGAAGATGGTTGAAACGCATGTTGATAATGTATCCATGCATCCAAAAAATGTAAAAGGCTCCTTGACTGATCGACGTCAGTCGCTGAAACTGCTCGCAGATTCCGTCTCTGAAGAATCATCCGGAACTGACTGCCTGGGTACACGAGGTGCGACATCTGCAGGTTCTGATGCCGGGAGAGACCTGAAAAAAAAAGAAATCATGAATCAGCGTTGAATTTTAAACAGTTACTGCATAAAACAGCGAATATGCGTAGCGATTTCTTGGAAAAATTCACGTGCGAACAGAAATGATCCCCACACGCATACAATTCAATTGTTTTTTTTTTCTTCTTAGTCAATAGAAACGATTGAGCAGACCACGTGTATCTCTTATTTAGCCTTTTAGTATGACTTCTTCCAACCCTAGTTTAGGAAGTCGTCGGTAGAAGACGAAGTGTCGGTAGAAAGGTACGCCGAACTGCAGCATCTTATGAAATTTGATCAATTGTGGGTCCACAGTTGGTTTCACTTCACTTTCTTCCGCCTTAATCCGCGTTTGGTCTTGAACATCCTCTTCTCCAACTTCTTTTGGCGGTTTTTCTTCAGTTCGCAAATCTTGAATGTATCCAGTTTGCGGTGTGACAACTGGATTCTTGATATCAACAGCTGAAAAGAGCATAAATGAGGGTCAGGTCATGAATATCGTCAAACGTTTGTGTTCGATGGATTTGTAATAGACGAATTCTCGTAACAATAGTCATCGTTTTCCGATTATGGTTCCAAATATCTTTCAGAAAAATTTAAAAAACATTGAAGAGAGGGCAAAAAGTGCATTCAGAAATTTGAAAAATTGGGTTTACATGATCACCTGCCTCGCTCAACTTTTCCAAAATGTTGATTTCCGTAGGGGACTTAAAGAACTTGTAGAGTGTTTATGAAAAAAAGAGTTTCTTGCAAGACTAGAGTCGTTAAAACCGCAATCACCACAACTCATACTGAATTTATAGAACTTGTAGAGTGTTTTACATTTTCTCACAGAACGTTTTGATCTCAGCAATTTTAGCGTTAGTGGTGTTGAGTATGACTGAAATGTATCATGGTGAGCACGATTTTGTTAACGTTCGTTCTGAAATGGAAGAAAATCGTTGGAAAATAGAAACCGTCTTCATCAAATTTTGCGTCATTCATCCCGCGAAGATTTGAGGGCTTGTAAACTACATTAACCAAAGAACTTCATCCCACAAAACCAACTAAATTATTTAGATGAGCGAAAAAAGGTACCATTCTCCACAGCGTTCGCTGGATTTCGGGCGTCGATTCCAGGGATTGAAGCCAGCTTAAGAGAGATAACAAAAAACGGACAATTCGTCAAATCGTACATGGAGACGGAGAAAAAAGAACGGACACAGACCTTATTCTCAAGCAAACTCAACGACGTTTCCATCCTGTCCATTTGCACACAAATGGCGTCCAGTTTGAGAGTACACGTCTCCGCCACTCTGTTCAAACAGTTCACGGTCTCCATCAAATAGTGATTCACAAACGCCTGCGTCTTCTTCTGCGACACCGGCGGCATCTACACGGAACAACGCCGAAACATTTCACAACACTCCGATATTTTCAATTTAAATTTGCGGAAGAACGTACTGTCTCCAGATCAGCTCCCGCCAGCTCCGAAGTCATCGTGAATCAGCAATTAAAAAAAACGCAGCTCTGCAGTGGGGGAAAATAGAAAATGACCAGCGTCCTTGAGTCGTATGCCAAAAATTTGCATGATACACGAATGATTCTAGCGAAACACAAGTTTTCAGCAATTTTTTTTTTTTACCAGCGATCGCATAGCACAATGAACACTTCAGTTTCGCGTCCGAAACAAGGGACAACAGGACGGATGTTTTCGTAGATCACAATATTGAAAAAACTCACGTATGTTTTGACTTGTTACGAAAAAAGATAAAAATGCCCGAAACTTCAGAATCAAGAAGCATATGAACACATTCTTAAAGCGCTGAATATCCAGCAATTGCATCTGGAGGAGATCGGCAATATATCTTGAATTCTTTTCGTTGCAAAGACTATCTAGTTTTTCCACAACCTCAGACTAGTCAGGAAGATATACACTCAAATCAGCGAATGGTATAAAGTACTTTTACCAACTGTTTTTTGAAAATTCATAGAAAGGAAGCAATTCTTCAGCTACAATTACATCTTGGTGAAGACTTATCTTCGGCTTGAATCATATTTTTGACATGAACACCACGGGAACTTATTTCAAGGCAAACTAGGTACACACGCACACACACACCCGAGCCATGTTTCCTTCTTTTCAAAACAATTCAAATCCAGAACCCATGGGTCTCGGAGCAGGGATAGCCTTGGACCTGAACGCGAGTATCTGTAAAGTCAGGTTGTCAATCTTGGCAGCCTGGGCCTCAATTTTGTACAGCAGTGGCCCGAGTTGGTCGTTGAGAAGGTCCATACCGTGGTATTGGAGCCCACGTCGGGCCAGCCAGGCCAGATGGGATCGTCTCGCGCTCAGCTTGGCCTCCACTTCGCCTTTTTTCTCTTGCAGACGTCGGAGAGTCGTTTTCTTGCGCGTGTTCTCCCTCGTTACTGCCGTCAGTTCTTCTTCCATTTCCTTCGCCTTCTTCTCCAAATCTCGTTTCTTCGCGTCTATGGAACTGATGTGAGAGAAAGGCACTTTTACAGGGTGGACCAGAAAAAACTTCGTTTTGAAGAAAGTTTCTCATAAATTCTCAAAATCAGGAAAGGCCTGAAAAAAAGAAAATCACCCAAAAACTCGCCTATTTTGTTTAATTCTGATCAACATTCAAGCGTTAAAGATTTATCTAAGAATTAAAGCATGGTTAAAATTATTGACAGCTCAGATTCAGAAAAAAAATATGTACAGGTTGACTCGGTCTACAACGAAATTCAGATGACCCGAAAAAAATGCGTTGCAGAGAGATTCGACAACCCATGGGACCAAAAATGAATTAATTATGGAGAGGCTGCCTGTAGAGTAAATATACGTATAATTTTGAATTATCAAGCAAAAGTGTTCTCCCTCCATTTTCAAACGTAAGATTTACATAATATTAACACTCTATCTGTTTAAATCAAAGAAGAAACGTTGAATAAGACACAGACCTGGTGGGTTCCATTTTCGACGTCTTGCCCTTCTTTTCTTCATTCCTGTTTCGCAAGTGTTTCTCCAATGCCTTCAGCTTGACGACTTTGCCAAATTTTCTTATAGTCCACTCTTCCTTCGTTTTGACGAGTTCCGCGTGCTTTTGTTTCAGCTTCTTCGCGGCTTTGATCGCCTCCCGAAACTTATCCTTCTCCTCAGCTAGCTTGACAGAATTGTCAACGAGACTCGCGCTTATTTCCCCAAGTTCCCGCTTCAATGCTTCATAAACCTTCGCCTCTATGATGACGTGGTGCGACATCTGCGAGGACTTTAGGTATTTATCGGCTTCAGGAGCCGTGAGTATCAACGTGGTTTGCAAATCGTGCAGGGACTTCATTTTCCGCGCCAGAAGAACACTGTGTTCACCCAGGACGGACTGAAGCTGAGTGTCTGCGACAGAAACGGCGTTTGAAGCAGATGCGAGGTCGGATTCGATCCTGATGCGAGCAACGGAAACAGCGTGCAAATCGGCTTCGGATTTTTGCCGAAATGCGGATAATTGGCGGGTTTCTTCAATCCCTGGAATGGCCACGGGTCCGTGCTTTGTGCTTCTGTAGGAGGCACGGCGAGATCCAAATGAACTCCGGAGATCCGATGCTTCGGAAAGATCAGAAACGCTTGATCTTCGCATGTACACCAACCTGAAGAGAGTTAGGCGGAAAATAAATAACGCTGCAATTTAGTAAACTTGGCGATAACCAATTGTTACTTGTTGGTATTGTAATTCATTCCTTGGATAAATCGTGACTTGAAAAACAGAACTTCATTTCAAAATACTATACTCAACTTTTCAACGACGTCAATTTATCTGAGGAAATTTTCTCTCCCTACGTGCGTAATAAAACGCATCTGAAAATTTCAGTTTTCTCTCAAATTAAATTCAAATGTCCAAGCCTCAAAAGATAATATCCACGGGAAAATAAGGACACATTTTTTACAATTTTAGAAGCTCAAAAATTAAGGGGGTTCTTATTTTCCCACGATTGAGCAATTACCGTAAATATGCGTCTACTGCAGGAAATATTCCTGTTTGTGGCCCACAAAATCGTCGAACACCTTCGCTTAAGTTAAACAAATCAAGAAATGATCAGCTTTTAGAACTTCAAGGTGCGAGAGTCATTGACTGAAGGGGCAGAGCAAGGGATTGTGTGACACCATTTTTTCTTTTCTGGAGAAAACCTAAATTCAAGCAGAAATGTTAGGTTCCTGGAAAGTTAGAACACTCGAAAAATACAGTAAGTGGGGACCTTATTCGCATGAATACGGTAGTAACTTAGTTCACTGAATTCCACGTGAAATTAGAAAACAGAAAAATGGCAAATGATTGAAAAGCCATAAGTTTTCTTGTGGAATTTTTCGGGACATATGAGTAGAACTGATCCAAGCCTCAGATATGTTTTCAGCCATCCGAAATTCGTTGAAAAGCAAGACATTCATGAAAACAAGTTTTTTTTTTAAAGCAGCTAAATTTAATTCGTTTGCACAAAATATTTCCAAATTTACATTCAAGCTTCTATCAAAGTCACGAAACCGTTTGGTTTACGAAAAAAAAATCCGTTTTCAAGAGTTAGAATGATTAAGTTTCTTGTACCTCAACTGATCGACATGCCTAGGGTAGGCGAAAAAAATTGCGTCTGCCTCGTCGTCCAACCGAGCCATTGCGTTCTTCACTCCTTCTAGTTCTTTGATCTTCTCATCAAGCTCTTTCTTCACTCGCGCTTCCTCAGCCTTCTTCTGCTCCTTGAACTCGTAAGCAGCTTTCAAACGTTCTATAACATCCCGCTCCAACTGCTCCGTTTCTTCAAGTACGGCGACTTGCTCACCCAATTCCAGTACCCGCAGTTCGCCCACTTCTTTCGCCAATGACAGCTTCACCGCTTTTTCCTTCAAATTATTGTATTTGTTGATGAGCTTTATATGCAAAGCGTAAGCTGTTGCTACGGCTTTCTCGGCTTCGTGAAGCAACGCTGATCTCGTGTGTCGCAACAGTCTTTCTTCCAGGACAGACAAATGGCCCTGGTCAAAAGTACAGCACGTAATTAATTTCAGGGTTAACTCTTAATTTTTGTTAGTAAGATAGAACATTGTTACGGGTTTTTTTTTAAATGTCGGCACTACAAGCAGAGTAAAAAAAAGAACACTGTCAGTGGATATTTTACCACGGGAACGCGAAGACCGCAAGGATTGACAAACGGTTACAGTGAACGATGATCATCAGAATACAGTTGAGTCCTTGCATATCAAAAGACCTGCACAACGAAAATTTTGCAATACGAAATTTCCTTCGCAATGCGGGGCACTTGGAATTACAATTTCGAGCTCTCATTGAGCCTTATTTATATTTTCAGAAGTAGTTCTCAGCTTGCCGACCTATTTAGATAACAAAAGAACAAAATTGGATTGAAAAAAGGTTTTAGACGAGATCACGAGAGGCGACATCTGTTCACTGTGCACGAGAAGATCAACTCTAGGTCTGCTTCTTTCAACAACAAAAAAGGAAGAAACAGTGCATATCTCCTGACTTGAACTGAAACAAGTGAAGAAAAATTAGGGTAGAAATTTAGGGTGTACCTTTTCATTCTAAAGAATGCATTTTTTAACCAAAAAAATCGGGATCTTGGGAAAGATCTGAATGTTTGCGACGTGTTTTCGATGGATATTTTGCTTCGCATTACAAAACGCATCTAGGAACAGATTAGTTTCATTTTGCGTGGACCCACTCTACACGGAGCGAAGCCGAATTTTTTTTCATTCTCATCAAGTGCAATTGATGAATCCGATAATAAATTTGAAAACAAAAGTACCAGACAACGAACAATATATTCCATCGATTGAAACACCCGGCGGACTGAAACAACCTCGTTTGTTCACACAAAGCAACTGATCCCTCACCTGATTTCCTGCATTTGCCTTTTGTCCAAGAATCCCCTTGAATTCCAAAACCTCGGGAGATTTCCCGCTTTCAGACGTTCCAGCAGAAGATTCTTCGTCACTCTCAACATCCCTAGCTTGGATGATCTCAGATCTCGTCGGTAGAATGTCGTCCAACAAACGCGTCGGAATCACACCTTTGTTCCGAATCCCACCGGCGACGATCTCCTGCGCAGATTCCATCCCAATGCCTTGACCCAGCTTTGCAATAATCGACTCCAACTCCAGCTTTGCGGCATTGAACTGGGCCATCAGGGACAAAACGCTCGCGTTGAAGGACGAGCAAAAGTCAAGGAGACGAACACGAACGTGTGACAACTCTGCTCGCTTTCTGGGCAACGTCACGTCACCCGGGAATATGGAGTCCTCAGTTTTTATCCCGTGACGAAGTATTCTTTCCTTGGGAACGGATGCGTTCTTCAGAGCCAACCGGAAACACTGGTTACATCCTGTGAAACCCAGTTTCAAGAAGATGTCATCATCTTCCAGCATTTTCTTCACGTCCGACGCCAATTTCGAATGAAGGTCTTCTGCAGGTCGCTCCACTCGCCATGTTCTCAATCGTAGCCTGCAAGAAAAAGATAAATGCTCCATGATATGAATGAAACCTTAAGATGCAGAAAAAGTATATTCAGCAATAGATTGTGAGGAAATTTTCAGATAAACACCTTGCCCCTGCCAAACCAAAAAGTGTAAAAGTGTTACTTTCTTGATTACAGTTGAACTTCTCAAAGACAAATTCCAAAGGGCCAGCAAAAAATTCAAGTTAGAGGGGAAAATAATTTTCCTTGGGGGCAAAAAGAAAAGAGGAATTACGAAGAAATTGTAGCTGGTGATATTCTAGGCCTTAAATTGCTTCTTCGGTGATTTGAAAGGATGCTTAACTTGGAGCTAAGGGTAGATTTGCCCAATTGGTCTTTCACTTCCTTACAAAACACTTTGTCATATTTTTATTGCTCTTCTCTTTCCTGAGCCAATAAAATCAACAGCCAAAAGTGCTCCAGAAAATTTGAGTGATGATGGTTTGAGGGGAAACGCCTTTTGATTTAAATAGGTTTATAAATTCTGCTTATTCCAACAGGGACTTGAACAAAAATTTGACATAGAGTGGCATGTCAACCTCTGATAACGTCAACCTCTGGGAGGTTGACGTTATCCAGGTTCACTTGTTTGATATGAAAATGATGATCTAGAATTCTTATGGTTTGAAATTTCACAGCATGTGTGAAACGGAATATTCTACACAAAACTAATACAATTCTTGAACTTTTCAGAAGAATTTCAAGCATATTTTAAATAAGTGGCAAACTCTGGGCATAACCAGAAAATACTCCCTTTTCATTGAAAAATGTCTTTTACAAATTTCTAAAAAATATTAAAAGTAAATTAAACATTTCTGAGGGATGCGTTAGGATTTTTGTTTTGTTTTTGACGTCAGAATTTCTGGAGGCACACGGCAGTAGGAAACCCCTCGTTTTTATTCATATACTGTACTGTGTACCATCATCATACATTACATGTGAAGAAACAATTATTGTCACTTTTCTTCCACCCAAAATTAATTGCACGATTTTTCTTATTTAAAAAAATATACCTTTGGCTCGCATCCATGAATCCGTCGTCAAAGGAACACACGGTTTCTTGCCATTGCCAACGCGATAGGAAAGAGAACTTCAGTTTTTCCTCGAAGTTTTTCGCAGCTCTCAGTGCAGGCTCTCGTTCTCGGCGTATTTCGAGCACTTTTCTCTCATACTCGGCGTTTATTTCAGAGAAGACTTCAGGAGACGAGGTAAAAGAGGTCTCGGGGAGTCGGAGAGCAAACGGCAACTGGCTATTGGCCTTCTGCATAACCGAACACAAGAGAATTTCTCAAAAAATTAAATTTCTCGAACGATTTATACAGTATATGAAACTGACTCGTATATCCGCCATTTCAGATCGCAGTTGTTTGATGGCCTCCCTTTTCATGACCTTCACTTTCTCGCCTGCAATTTTACGGTTCACTATTGCGTTATCGGCCCGACGATTATCCACAAGAAGCGAATGTTTCACGTCGACTGTGCCCAGATCCATGATTGGGATCTCCTCGTCGCAAAATTCAGCAGATCTTTCCGAGAGGAGAACAACAACTGATCCCTTTCCATCACCGACAAGAGAGAGTGTCTCTGTGCCAGCGAACACGATTTCACCGTCGGATCTTCAAAGACAAATTTTAAAAAGTTTCACGCATTTGCTAAATTGGCGAGCAAATGTTTTGATTTAAAAATGCCTCATTCGGATTCACAAATGCCTTCATATCGGAAGGGCACTTCACGGACGAACCTCCAAGGAAAAAATTAATCTTAGAAAATCTCACACTTAATACATTCGTGAGAAAATTTCCTGACGTCAAGAGGTTTTTTGTTTGTTCATAAATGACTTTATATCGGAATTTTCAAATTTTCATTCACCTTACTCGTAGCAGGAATCAAACACAAGTTAGAAGTACCGGTAATAAGCCTTTCAGCTCCACATCCAGGACTAGGCTCTTCGCACATTGTATCACTCCAAGTTGGTAACAGTGCTATCAGAAAGCCACTTTATCATCATTGCAACACTACATTTTCATGGATCAAGGCTTCAGCAAGATAAGCTACGTCACTACGTCTCATTGAAAACCTTAACAACATCCCAACCGTGAGATGGAACATAATTTACTTTCAAGTAATAGACAGTCTCGCATTATCAAAATTCTGAGGAGTTCAGTCATTCACGATTTTTCCGGTCAGCCACTTCCTCTACTGTGACAGACAGAACCAGATCATTTACACACGAAAATTTATAAGAAAACTCACATTTTAACACAGACGTCTTCCAATGAAGTCTCTTCGAACAGCGAAATCCTCTTTACAGCAACCGTGCTGCAATGGGAAGCCAAGAAAACGCAACAATGCGATGCAAATACGTTCAAGAAGCCGGTTGTGACCCATCCAACAGAGGGAACTTCAATTCGTCTAAGGCATGAAGCAGTTTCGATCGAAATTTCAACCAAAAATACTTCCACTGCATCTTCCGAATCCGAATGACACAAAGCCCAACAGGTATCGCGGGTGACGTCTGGTGCGCAACTGAAAATTTCGGCATACTTTCCTCGATTTTGCCTGGCGAAGAAAATTTTAATGAGAAAAGAACTTCTTTCACATCCTTTATGCATGAATCTATCCATTATCTATCGATTCTGGCTGAACAGGGGATAATTGGGTGCCTTACATCCACATACTTGACACGGGTTCATTAATCGAGTAATCGAAAAAAGCGTATCAATACAAATCCGTAACCCAAAAATCAATCAAAAATTTCAATCACCTTAGAAGTCACGGAAGCGTAATCTGATCTACCAATGGCCAATTTTTTTTTCAATGCGAACTCGAGGGCCGTTGTTTATAGTGATCCTGAAGCAATTAATACACAAGGGAAATTAGATGACGAATTTGTTCACTTGAAAACAAACCCTTCGACATTCCGAAAATGTGACGAATACACTCACGTTTCTGGGTCGCCATTCTCACGAATACCACTGATGTGGACGATGGAAACTGCATAGGAATCTCTTAGGATCAGATAAGAATCCTCAACGCATTCGAAATCCTCCGCCACTCGAACAATCGCGAAAACACCCGACTGTTCACCCCAAATACCCAACACAATTTTCTCCGCAGAGGAACACGCCTTCAGGAAACACAACCTTGCGTTGGAAAGCTTCAATGGGATCCGAAACATTGGCTCCAAACTCTCCTCGCCAATTCGGAAAATGAATCCTTCAGAATCCCTTGACACCAAGCCAGTGAATTCTTCGTGAGATACGACCGCAACACAAGCACTATCTTCGAAAACTCTCGTGGAATGCCAGTCCTTCGGCTGTTGAATGGCATGAAGTTCGTGTAGATGTCCGGATTCGTCGCCAATTAGCAAAGAACCCCTGGCCCACGCAACACAAGTAGGTTTCGCACTTCTGATGAAACCAATGCCGAATAACTCTTGACACACACGTGGCTTCCACAAATACACTTCACCATTGACTCCGATTACCGCTGCTATATCTTCATCATCGACATTCCGCATTGCGATTCCCTGGACACCCGCGAGTCCGCGAATAACGAACTCCTTCCCATTATTCATTTCGATCCTTGAAATACTTCCATTCCCAAACGTCACGAGCATAGAAATAATCCCTTCATTGGAATCCTTCGCTGATAAATTACGCGCTCGACAAAGCGTTTCCTGCACCTGAAACGTTTCGCCGGCTTCTGGAAATTGCAGACGCTGAAGACCGACGCTTGATGTGTGAGTGATTCCATGTACATCAACAGTTTTCAGAATGTCCACCAGTTTCCACATCCGAACGGAACCACCGGCACTTATGGCGATGAAGTTTTCATTAAGCGTCATCAACTGTTCGGTGTGACATGACGGAGTCGCTGAAATGCAGGCGACTAATTGCGACGAAGACCATAAAAGAAAAGCGTCTTCATTCCCATCTGCGTTCGTTATCCAAATGTCTTCTCGGCTCAGTTTCGCAGCGCTTTCTATGTTCATGCATCCCTGGTAAGTGAGGAACGATGCCGGTGTGCGATGCAATCGGTCACCAAGAAGCAATTCACGTTCTTTCCAGAAACTCAGTCGTTCCGCGCTTGAGCCGAAGGTGACGAAATCTGCGGAGTCGTCCGGAATGAATGAGAACTGGATGAGACGCACTGGTGTGGCCGAGGAAGGCAGTCGGATTCTCCATCGTTCGATCATTCCCCGGGTCCAAACTACGAGTTGCCAGTTGTCGAAATGTGCGAAAATTGAGCATATATCTTCGCCTTTTGGATAAACAGCGAGACACACACAACGACCGTTTCCGTGCTCTGTTGCACACAGTTTCGAAAAGTTCTGGTCATCGTACACACTCAAGCGGCACTTTGAAATGTCTTCCGGTTTTCTCGAGGCAACAATCATACATTTGAATTGCTCATTCCACGCGATGCAGTCGATGGGCTCGCCCACATCGAGATAATCCGGTCTTGGTTTCGGCAATGGAACGACAGAAAAGAACAATATAAGCATTTTTTCAGTCAATACAACAAGAAGCTGCATATAATACCTTTCCAGGGCATCTGGAAGCTCTCCAGTTGAAGTGAAGCGTCTTCGGCTAACATAACTTCCAGCTGCGAGTAGCACTGATTTTCTATCGACGAACACACACTTTCCAGTCGTTGCCGCATTTCCACTCAGAACACGAAACCTAGGTTTCATTGACTAAAATCACAGCCCTGTAACGATAACACATTCTCATCCATGACCATGTGAAGCAGAATGAGACAACATAAAACCAGCGACCGCGTAATTCGCTAAAGATACGAAAAGGAGATCACAAACAATTTACAATTAGACTGTCTTGAAGATACTCACGAAGTACAGTCGGCGCGAGATTACCCGTGCGTGAACCAAAACAGAACAGCTTGTATATAGTGCATACGTGCGGATTCTTTCCTTCAACGCGAGAAACTCTTATTTCGATCCAACAAACATGCTCAAACGACTCGTCTCACACTCATGCAATGTCCAGGTAATAAAAAGATGATATCGCCCTGCAGGCAGATAGCGAATAGCGAAGTGAGATTGAGTCACTTATCGGAGTTGGGATTCCGCTCCTCCAGTCATCTGGAGGCGTCAGGCAAGTATGTACAGGAGGCAGGGGGGGGGGGGGAATTCCATTTCTAAGCTGTTTAAATTCCCGAACTTCGCTCCAAAGTTTCGTTTTTGTCATTCATTGCATAGAGCAGTACGTGTTCCTCACCCCTGGTCTGCAGACCAGCGCTGGTCGGCACAAGTTTGTTTGTCAGTCCCTGGAAGATTTTCAGCATAATAAATAATGCATCAGAAGTTGTAATGAAGTCTGTTGTTGTTATCTGAAAGTTTGGAAAGACAATGGCAGTTGAAATCATCTGATTAAAATAAAAGTTGGCTTTTCCTTTTAGAACAATTAATAGTAATTTTCACCTGCTGAAATAAATTACTGTATTTCTATAGTTTTCCTACTGGGAAACTTTTTCAGGACACTTCATTATAGCTGATGGTTCAATGGTTTTATACTTGATTTTTGAAATAAAAAGTTTTGTTTGGAGGACTTCATGCAGGTAGAATATTTGAAATTTTTTGCTGCTCTAACTGGATACATTTTATGGAATGCAGCTGGTCCGCAAAAATTTTTACGGAAATATGCCGGTCTGCAGGAAATTTCATGAAATTTTGCGGGTCCATAAAGGATGGCGAGAACACTGGTATAAAGCTTTATTGTTCAATAAACTTGCATGAATGTTTAAGACGCTGCTGGTATGAATGTTTAATACTGACTTTAAACTGTAGAAAGAAAGAGAGTTGAATGCTGGAGAATATATACTTATAGATTGAGATGAGTTAGGGGGGAAAACCCCGGAAGTTTATTCTGTTTCGTGTCAGGTAGTTATTTCTTTGTCGACTTACATGCGTCGACATGGAAACTGCAGCTTGAATATGAATTGTGCTCAGGATTTTTTTTTTTTTGGCGTCGTCGCCCTCATCATTTGGGCCAACTGGCTTATTATGCTCGAGGGAATTCTTCAGGGCAGGCATCAGCAATCAATTGTCTTCGGCTGCTTTCAAAAATGTTTTTTTTTTCAACTTTCAAGGAACATGATACAGGTGGCTTTGCAGTGGGGGGAATTCGTCATCCCCTTGCATCGATTCCCCATGTTCCTCCCGGAAGTTTCAATTTTGTCCTTATTTATTCGTATATTCCTTCATTTCAATTTAATCTTCTCCATTATTTCACGCAACTGTAAAGGGTTAACATTCGTAGGATACAATTACGCGCTTGAGATTGACCATCAACGTACTGTATTATTAAAAAAAATATATCTGGTTGAGTTTTCGCGCGTTTTCAATTTTGAAGACAATTGACGCATGTTCTCGTTTTTTATTCATTCATCTTTTCGCAATGTAAGTTGGGTTATTATGTATAATGGTGAGACGCTGAGATGAGGACATAATCGGAGAATCAATCTTTTCCCTTCATTGGAAATATTTTCAGTTGGTTCTCCTGTTGATCAATAATCAAGAAAGAGTCTCCAGAAAAATATAATCAGATATTTTTCATAAACTTGATTCAATTATCGAAAATACAGAAAATAAATTTACAGAAGAAAATCATCTCATTCCCATTATGCAATAATATAGACTTCAATGGTAATATTTTCAGTTGTTTCTCCTATTGATCAATAATCAAGAAAAAGTCTCCCAAAAAATAGAATAAAATAATCTTCATATACTTAAAGATACAGAATATAAATATATATAGAGAAGAAAACCATGCAGAATCTGATCTTTTGACATTAGAATGAGCTCAGAAGAAGCAAAGAACCAGAACAGGTTTAGGGATACAATACTTTACTGAGCAGGCATGATCAAGTGAATTTAAAAAATATATATTCACAAAATTAGCCTGTTTCTGATTACAGTATATGAGTGAAATTTGTTCACTGAAGTGAAGTTTGATCAACATGCAGGAGCTGCTCATTGTCATGCTCTATACCAGTGTTCCCCAACCTTTTTTGGACCCATAGACTGGCAAATTTTCCAAAAATTTTCTGCAGACCAGCATAATTTCCTTAACATTTTTGTGGACCAGCAGCATTCCATAAAATTGTTGCAGACTGCCAGAAAAAAATTTTAAATACCTCCTGAGATGACAACACTGACTCAACCTAGGGACATTTTGTGATAAAATTGCAAATACATTTCAGGCCAAATTACACAAAGCAGATATTTCCAACCCTAAAATTGATGTAAGAAAAATTTCTTAAGCATTGCTCTCACCAATTTACCATACATTTAGCTAACACTGTATTTAAAAATTTACCTCCAGCATAGAGGGACATATACACAATACTTTTTTTTCGCTTGAAAATTATTTTTGTAGATGCCAACATATCAATGTACTGTACAGAGATATACACTTTTCAATGCTCCAAGTGTTCTTATTGAGTTGAAAATGTATTCACTAATTCAAATTCAAGCAGCAAACAATTTTTTTCAGGGAATTTTTAAGAATATTTCTTCCATGAAACACCAATTGAAAATTATATAATGTAAGTCTATGGGAAAACACGACTCAACTTAGGGACACTCTTGATGCACCAATTATGTCCGCATCTTTGAGTCTCACTGTACCTCCCATGAAGTCTTCCAAACAAAACTTTCATTTCAAAAATTAAATCAAGAACCGTCAGTAAAGCCGCTATATAGTGCAATGCTTGGCTTAAAAAATGGTTTCCCACCCAGAAGGAAAACGGGAAATAATTTATTTCAGCAGGTGAAAATCATTCTTGAAGGGTAACATTTGTATGATACAAGCGCTTAATTGTATCTTACAAATGTTACCCCTTTACAGCAGCGTGAAACAATAGAGAAGATAAGGAATATACGAATAAAGAGGGATAATAATTATAGTAGATTAAAAAATTAATCTAAAAAACCACGTTTGCAGGAATCAATCTTTCTGCATAACTAGCATAGATGTCACTTTTGCATAAGGTACATCAAGCAATTTCAGGCCTAGAATATCACCAATTAGAGTTTCCTTCCATTCTTTCTCACTTTCCCTCAACAAGAATGCTTGAGAAACAACCATTTTTGTTGAGAAGAAGAAGGAAAAGCATAAAAAAATTTCTTCTATGAAAATTTGTTCAAGGGAAGGCCAGAAAATGTTTGCTAGGTTGGCAAATCCAATTTTGATTTTAATTTTTTTTATCTTGCCAGGAATTACATTTCTAACTCATTTTGTACATTTTTTTTAGAGAATTAAGCAAGAAAGGAAGTGAATGAATTTCCTGACAGATGGAATATGTCTTTTGTTTTTTGCCTTTCTTTGGAACCCTCCTTAATTTCACTTTGTTTTGCACTTAATTCTCTGAAAGCATGTAAAACATAAGTTAGTTGGGTGTTTGGGGGGAAAAAAATTTTTTTTTGAGTAAAAATCCAAGTTGCCTGCCGAACGACAAATGGTCATTTGGCAGGACAATGGTTGTTGGGCGGGACACTTTTTCAGGGTTTTGAACCGTCGTTTGGCGGATCCGTCGTTAGACGGAGCAGTTGTACGGCGAGGCACCACTGTATAACCACAGGTGGGTTACACCATTGTTGTCCAATTTTACCAAGAGAATTATCTAGAGACACTCTTGATCAGAGGAGGAACATCTTCTTCCAAAGATTGATTAATCTTAAGAACGTAAACTCTTTTAGACAATCTTTTAATGAGAAGATTTAGTTCTTATGGTTGGGGTTGAAATGAAACACAACTTCTTGATATAGAGTAGCAATATGTTTATTCTTCTGTGCAACCTCAGTTAATGCCAGACCAACAATGAATATCTGTACAAATGCATGCAGAAGATTTGACAAGAACCAGATGCAACTGCGCAAGCAGGACAGTGTGATCCAAGGTTCATACGTCCTGTTCTAGAACAATAATACCTTTTGCATTAAAATGCACATCATGAAACAGTGTTGCATAGCAACTCACCGCTCTGAAGCGCACAAGGTCAGTTGTCTAGACAGCGGTCCTTTACCTGCCCTACTTTTGATATGCCCCCCTCTTGCTTGTGCAGTTGCGTCTTGAAAGTGTTGAATCTATAAAGGGTACTTGCGTGCATTGAACTAACATGAATTTGTGAGCTTGGCGATGACTGAGGTAAACCATACATATCCACTCTAAACCAAGAAGTTGTGTTTCATTTACAAACCCCGGCCATAAGAACTAAATCTTCTTGTTGAAAGATTGTCTTATAGAATTTACAGTCTCTGGATTAATTGACTCTGTGGAGAAGACATTCTCCTCAGATCAAAAGTGTCTTAGGATAAAATTCTTACGAAATTAGGACAACAACAGAGACAGCACAAAAGGGGGCAAAGTAAATTACCACAAGCCGGACATAAATGACCTTGTCTGCTTTGGAGCAGCGAGTCAAGACAGTCAAAATCTCTCTTGACTCGCTCTCTGGGAGAGTCAAAATTGACTCTCCGAGTCA